ATCACACTGTTTGGGCCAACAGAATAGCCGCTAAAAGAGCCTTGTTGATTGAGATTGTCGTGAGCTAAGTTTCCATGGATAAAGTCGGTAAATTCGGCATTTTGATTGTTTTGAATAGGAGCCGAGATAGTAAAATTTGTTTCTCCGTTTGAATAAAGAACAAGATTAGGATTTTGGTTATTAGAACCATTAACCGAATTATTGTCATAACTTTGATCATCCATTTTTAATTTTTTTATTATTGTATTATTTTTTAAATATTGGTTTGGTTTATTTTCAGGCGCTTTTATAGCGATTTAGACTATTATATAAAAAAAATTTTACTTTAACGTCTAATGAAACAATATAAATTATTTGTGTGATTATTATTATCAAGATTAGTCGTATAACCTTATTTATTTATTAATTATTATTACACAATTCACGTTGTTACATAAATTATTGCTTCATGAATTTAAAAAGGAAGCTTCAATTTAAAATTTACTCATTGGTTTCCCGAAAATTTATTTTATATACATATATAAATTTTGAAACAAAAGACAAAACCTTGCAGACAGCCTTGTTATTTGATTAATTTTATAAACTATAAAAAGGTCAGAGAAAATGGAATCGGTTTTTTTTAAAATTGAATTTTTTAGTTTTTTTTTGAAATGTATAATTTAAATCTCAATGAAGAATTCGATGCCAAAATCAACATAGGGGATGAAAAAAGGAAGAAAATTAGTAGTGGTAGTAATAATAATAATAGTCGTAACAAATGCCCCCAATGTCACAAAATTCGAACAAAACTAGATTTTTGTATTAATTGCCAACACGATTTCCACATAAAGCGATTCGATATTTGGGCAAGTGGTGATTTGGAAGTCGACAAAATTATTAGGCATACACAGGTAAACCCGACTTATCACGATTTTGGGAGTGGATCGAGTGGGACGATATTGATCTTGTAGAATACCATGGTAGAGGGTTTTTTGGTGAAATTTATTCTGCATTGTGGATATCTGGTCCTTTGACCATGTGGAACTGGGAATTAGAGTACTACAGTAGAAATGGCCCAATCAAAGTTGCCCTCAAAAAATTGATAATTCGGAAAAACTCAGTCAAGAGTTTATAAACAAAGTAACAAAAAATATTTTTATTGTTTTCACTAGTGATATTAACCGGCTAATAATCTGCATACATAATTTGGTAATGAATTTATGCGGTACCTTTTGGTAATAGAAATAAAATTACCAGTTTAGGTAGTAAACGGCCAATATCACTAGTTTTCACTTTTTATTGTTTTTTTGTTTTTTTATTTTATTTATAAGTTTATTTATTATTTATAGTTGTATGAATTTTACCGATGTACAAAAAATAATTCTATAATTGATTTTTTCGGTATAACTCGTGACAATACATTTAATTATTGTTTAATATTAAAAATATTACGAAGATAAAAATTTCTTGACAAATCAAAAGGATTGCTGTGTTGGCATGATATTGTCGAAATTTTGTGGCTAATTGCTAATGGATTGAAATGCATACATCGAGAGAAATTGTCATGGAAATCTTCATTGTAGAAATATGTTGATTGATAATAAAGATGATCTTCTGGACGTAAGGATCACGGATGATGGTTTAAATATTTGAGCGAATCAACTTTCTGAATCATCGAATAAGAAGATATACGGAGTCTTAAAATACGTAGCATCTGAAGTTTTATTAGGTGATAATTATACAAGTGCATCAGATATTTATAGCTTTGGGATAATTATGTGGTCATTAGGATCTGGAATCCGTCCATGTACAGATGTTGCTCATGACGAAAAACTTGCATACAAAATAATCGCAAATGGTAAAAGACCAAAAATATGCGAAAACAATTTTCCAAAAATTTTTACTGATCTTATGAGAAGATGTTGGGACACGATCCGAAAAAACGATCAATTGCACAACAATTATTTAAAATCGCTGGAAAATGGGTATTTGATATCTGATAATCCAAATCCCAATGAAACTAGTCGTCAATTTGATGAGGATAAAAAATTCTTGGAACTCGAATAAAACTATTTCGAAACTCTGAAACTGTTCCAAACCTATTTTTAAAACTTTGAAATCATTTCAAACTTCAAAAACTTTAAAAAAACCAAAATGACGCCACAAGTACTTTATGTAAATATTTTTAGAGAGAGAGTGTGTGTGTGTCAAAAAATTTATTTAGATTTTGTCACGTGCCAGATGGACGGTCAAATTAAAAAAAACTGGAATTGAAATTAATCAATCAAAAAATATTTTTATTATATTTGTTAGGATTTTAACATGAATCGTTTAAGCACCAAATTGAAAGAACAAATTTTTATATACACCAAAAACCCTTTATCACTAATCTTAACTAATAAAGATTGGTATGAGATATCAAAAAGCCACAAAGCAAGAGTAAAGTGGATCATTAAACAACATGGGAAAGCACATGCATTTTTTTACACAATTCACTATGCCATAACTTTATATCATTAGAATTAGTTGATCTTCTTATCAAAGAAAATGTGATTTTGTCTAGATATCTTGTGCAAAGGTTATTATTACAATTTGGAAAATCCGATCATAGTCTAATTGAACTAAAAATCATAACACTAACAACAATAATGGCACAGATCAAGAAACATCTATAGCTTCTCAAAAATATTATAGGAATCCTTGGGCTTCAAACATTCCAGTATCAATATTATAGCCTTGTTAAAAGAAGCTAAAGAACGGTATGGTGCATATCTTCCTTTGAAAGAAAATGATATTGAAATTTTTCATTTTTTGACTGGTGGACCATTAGCTATCAATTTGGCTCCAACAAAATTAAAAGAAAATCTTGAAAAAATAAAGGATCTTATTTGTGCCTTTTCCTCCAAGACCAACAACTCCATTTGAAGACTCAATTGATTACCAAAATAGAAATGCAAGTACTTAATCATAAAGAGTATCCAGCCAAAGATGGATTTAGTATTACAAGGAACTTTGCTGATTCTATTCTATCTAAATAATAAAAATAATGAAGTTTGTATTTATTCAACTACAAATGATTTTGTTGAACAACTTCAATAATTGATCAAAGTTGGATTCAAGCTGACAAAATCTGTCATGGCTGATATTTTAATTTTTGTATAAACAACATCTAATGAAATTGTAGTACACTTTTAAAAGCTTTTCAGATTATTAGGAATCTGACAAAACTTGAAATTGTTGAATGTTGTACTGTGGAAGTTAGGAATTTGAAAAAGCATCAAATTCTAAATTTTCTAAAGATGTAAATTGAAGAACATGTCTTTCTCAAGCCTAGTCATTTTTATGATAAGACCAGTAAAAAATTGATTGATTTCCAAATTTTTAAACAAAATAGCTCTTTTACTCACAACACTGACAATTTAATTAATAACAATATCAACAATCAATCAATTAATTATCATCCATGTGTGTAATATTGAGGATATTGAGGGTTTGAGAAAAAACACTATTACTGGATAAAATATTACGTTGAAAAATTAATATGTGATGATAATTATAAATTTATAAATTCAAATATTAAAGCCCCAATTAACAATATAAGGTCATTAAGATTAAGTAGCAACTTGTACAAATGGATGTTGAAAAACTTCAATCCAGATTCATTAATAAAAGAGTAAAGAAGAAAGTGGTGATAATAATATTGGAACGGTTTTTTAAAAAAGAAAATTTTTTATGAAAAATTTGGGGATACAAAATTTTGATTGGCTAGCATAAAGTGGTGATAATAATATTGAAACGGTTTTTTAAAAAATGAAAATTTTAGAATTTCTTCAATTGCATCAAAATCATGTATTTTTCCGCAAAAACCATCCGCAAATTTGCGCAGCATCATAATTTTATTGGTGGGTTGGGTGCGTGTTATCCTTATTTAGAATTTGATGTTTTTTCAAATTTCTGTTGACCTTAATAACTTCCACAGCACAACATTCAATAATTTCAAGTTTTGTTAGATTCCTAGCAATCTGAAAAGCCTCTAAAAGTGTACTCCAATTTCATCAAGATGTTGTTCATACAAAATTAAAATATCAGCCATAACAGATTTTGTCAATTTGAATACAACTTTGATCAATTGTTGAAGATGCTCAACAAAATCATTTGTAGTTGGATAAATACAAACTTCTTCATTTTTATGATTTGGATAGAATAGAATCAACAAAGTTTCTTGTAATACTAAATTATTGACATTTTTACATATATCATAATAGCCAATTTGTTTCAAAGTTCTACAATTTCAGATAAATTAATATTGTCCTGGCAGTTGCTTATTGTTTTCAAATCCATCTTTGTCTGGATACTCTTTACGATTAAGTATTTGCTTTTCTATTTGGTAATCAATTGAATCTTCAAATGAGATTGTTAATTTTGAAAGAAATATTTTATTTAATATAGGTTCTTGTTCGTTTTCATATAAAATTTGATGTTTTTATATTATATATAGTACTTTATTAATTAAAAAAAATAAAGTTGATCAGATTTAAAATGTTTACAATATTTTTGTGTTTTTCAAAAATTTTATATTTAAATTATATCATATAAAAGCTATAGTTTCGGAGAATAAATTAACACTTTAACGCATCTAGATTTTATTTCTTTATTTCTTTCATTATTTTTTTTTTCTAGATCTAAATCGTAACATAATCGTGTAGTTATCCACAAAAAATATCCGCAAATTTCGTGAAACCTCAGAATATCCAATTTTTATTGGTGGGTTGGGTGCGTGTTATCCCTATTTAGAAATCAATTTGGCGATTGCGGATATTTTTTGTGGAATAACTACATAATAATCGTAACCGGCAAAAAATTTCTATTAAAATCATAAAAATGTCAAAATATGCGGAACTGCCTGAACTTGACTGTGAAAAAGTTTTGGGTCTTCGTCTATCTGGGAATAATATGTCAGAATTATCAAAAAAGTCGGAATTTCAAAGAATGTTGTTTGCAATACATGTACTATAAAATGTTAGTCGATTTTTTTCAATTTTGACTTTTTCAAAAAAAAAGTATTTCGTTTTTTTTTTTATTAATAAAGTACTAGAAATACAAAAAAAATTTATAATAACCTAGGCTATCTAATGTTAAAAATTTTACGTATATTTATAATTAACGAAAAACATCATTCACAAAATTTTGTTTGTGTAGTATAGATAATACCAACAATGAATCAAATAATTATAATTATTTACCC